CCGCCGCCGGCGACGACCGGGCTTCGCCCGCTCGTGCCCCTTGGCGGCGGCGAGGGAGGAGAGAGAGAAGGGGAGGGTGGCGGCGGCGGCGCTAGGGTTGCCCCCCGGGCGCCCGCGGGAGCGTCGCGGGAGGGGAGGGGAGGGGAGCCTGCGTCACAACAAAGTCATATGGTAATTCAAACCCTGATTGAATACAAAGGAAATTATAAGATGTGCCTTGTCTTATTGTCCATTGTTCTTGTTCTCTCGTGGGCTGTAGGGGTAAACGAAAAGTATTTCATGACTTGAAAATATTTTTCTATGACAAGTATAAATTTATTAAAGCTGAATGTATATGTAGTGATTGTGGAAACAAATATACTTTTGCAGCGTCAGAACTTAGAGCATATGTGCCCCATGTGAAGTTTACTCTTCCTTATGGAACTTCTGAGCCTTAAATCCGTATATCATCAAGTTTAATATCTAGCAAATTATTATTTGCAGCGCTTTGTATTTGAAGCTTGTCAGGATTTAACTCTTGTGATTCTGATGGTAGCTGCTGCTATATCATTATCATTGGGCATGGCAACAGAGGTACTTAATGACATTATGATTTACCTTGGCTCCTTTGTTCATGTATTCATTTTGTCTTGTCTTTACACTGTAAGAATGGTTCAATTTCATAATACTTATTCAGTTATTCCTATTTTGGTTTCACCGTTGACGCTTTATTTAGGGTGTAAAAGATGGATGGTATGATGGTGGAAGCATATTCTTTGCTGTTTTTCTTGTGATATTTGTTACAGGTAATAACAGTATGTTTTATTTTTATTCGCTTCTCTCCTATTGTTACTGAGTTTTGTGCAGTAATCAGCTCATACAAAACCTTAAGTTGTCAAGGGAAGTGACAGTTATACTGATATATCAACACTCTCCCTCACATCGGGGATCATTCAGGCCTACATTGTAGACTGGATGTGTTGTAGTGCTATTGGGATTCACATGTAGGCAGGATGCATCTGTGAAAAATTTCTCGAACAATGCATCTGCTCAAATGGTGTCAGGGTTGTGAGTCATCCTCGGTATTTTCACACAGCAGTACCTTTCTTTTAAGAATGAAGTAAAATGAGCTGCTGGCTGTCAAACCCAGAACCTTTTGCTCTGACATGTAATGATTGTAATGCACAAACCAGTTCATAGAAAACCTTAAAATATTAGGGGAAAACATGTTGCTGTACTGGAAATAATCGTGCTCTGATATTATATATGGCGTGAGTAATTGCATACATGTTGCTGTACTGGAAATACTTGTGCTCTGATATTTATTTCTTCACAACCATTTTAGCAACCAGTGATTATAGACAATCTCTTCAGTTTCAACATCTGAACGAGGAGAAACAAAATATACAGGTTGAGGTGAGTATGTTCATCCCGATAATTTTGGAGCGTACTTTTTTTGTTTGGGACTGTGACTCATTGGCAGTGCATGATTTATCGTGACCAATAATTAGGTTATCAGAGGTGGTAAGAGAGTAGGAGCTTCAATATTTGACCTTGTGGTTGGCGATGTTGTTCCCCTCAAAATTGGTGATCAAGTAATGCATTTATCACATATTCCACCTTTTGTCTACATTTGAGCTACTTTTCTCAGATTGACGTGATTACATGCATTATTTGACCTTCAGGTCCCTGCAGATGGTGTCCTGATATCTGGTCATTCTCTTGCAATAGATGAATCAAGTATGACGGGAGAGTCCAAAATTGTAAGTGTTGATAAAAGGAAAAGGACAATAATTATTGTTTTCTGAAATCTGCCTTCCTAAATGTTCAAGTATGTTGTACTGTCAGGTTCATAAGGACCAGAATGCACCTATGTTGATGTCCGGTTGCAAGGTCGCAGATGGCTATGGCTCTATGTTGGTGAGTATCACTTGGTTGAGCCTTCCAAGTACATGAAGTGTTCAGCTTGTGCTTTCGTATTACACAATTGTGTGGCTACCGGTTTTATTTTCTATAGTTTGTTAGCATCTCATTCATTCCATAAACATATAGGTAACAGGTGTGGGTACTAATACTGAATGGGGTATGTTGATGGCCAACCTTTCAGAAGATATTGGTGAAGAAACCCCGTTGCAGGTTAATTTCTATGTTCGTTTTTTACGATAAGTTAATTAATTTCTCATGGTATGTACCACACAGAGAATAATGTCAACTTATATTGACCTTTTTGTTCATATTTTATGGCTGTGTTCCCACTTGTTCAAACTGTGGAGTAGGTGCGCTTGAATGGTGTCGCTACTTTAATTGGTATCGTGGGTTTATCGGTTGCTGGTGTTGTCCTTGTCGTACTTTGGATAAGGTGGTTTTCTGGTACATTCATCCATTGTTATGGTGCACTTTAAGTAAATATTCTACATTTTGTGGATATGCTTTTCATGGTCACCTTCCATCTAAAATGCAGATATTTTACCGGGCATAGCAATAATCCAGATGGAACTACTGCATTTGTGGCTGGGACTACTGGTGCAAAACAGGGATTTATGGGGGCAATCAGTATTTTTACAATTGCCGTATGTAATCCTAACCAAGTTTTCTTGCTTAATTACTATGATGATGAAGAGCATCAATTCTTTCCAAGCGAGCTGATTCTACTGCATTTGTCACTGTAGGTAACTATTGTGGTTGTTGCTGTGCCTGAAGGACTCCCTTTAGCAGTAACATTGACGTACGGATCTTTTACCTTTTTTATACAAATTCCTTAGAGATGATAGGTGCATTAAACTGGTGTAGTTTTCTTTCAGCCTTGCATATTCAATGCGAAAGATGATGCGAGACAAGGCTCTGGTAATACATACAAAGAAATTTATAAAGAAAAACCTTGACTCCAGTATATGATCTGTGTTTTTGGTTTGGCATACAGGTGAGACGACTTTCATCTTGTGAAACAATGGGGTCAGCGACCACGATTTGCAGTGACAAGACTGGAACTCTTACCTTGAATAAGGTTTGTAAAGTCAATAGGCACTCCTCACAAAAAATGAATGCTATATGTACTCCACTGCTGCACTGCATAGAATCAGTAATGTCTTCAGTTTGTGTAGTGCTTCTGTATCTTATTATTATTTCTAATTGGTCGTCTAGATGACAGTTGTGGAAGCATATTTGAGTGGGACGAAGTTGAATCCTTGTCATAATACTGGGATGATTTCTAGCAGTGTGGCATCTCTACTTGTTGAAGGAATTGCACAAAACACAGCAGGTGCCGTGTTTTCACCAGAGGTACAGTATGGTACATTTCTCTTTCCGTAGGTTTTTCCTTGTACTTTTTTCCATTGAAGTTCACATGTCATACCAAAGGACGTCATCCATTTTAATATGTTTTCCTGTCTATAGGATGGAGGAGCTGCTGAAGTTGCTGGCTCACCAACTGAAAAAGCAATTCTTTCTTGGGGTCTTAAGGTGCTTCATATATGCTCTTTTGTTCACCATTACTTCTTTCAAGTTTGTTCCATTAAATTGAAAATCTTTTTTATCCATCATTGACAATTTAACTGCATAGATTGGGATGAATTTCAACGATGTGAGGTCAAAATCTTCAGTTCTCCGTGTTCTCCCATTTAACTCAGTGAAGAAATGTGGTGGCGTTGCAGTGCAGGTGGTAAGCACATTTTCATGATACTTAATATTTTGAAGGAAATCATGTAATGTTAAATAAGAAATAGTCCTTTTTAATCTACATTATTGACTTTCCTTCTATGTTTTAGTGCTAAGTATGTGGCTTGCTACATATCTGACTTTTTTCATTGGTTTTGCATCTTGTAGTTTCTTTGTGCGCTTTACCATCTTTCACAAAAATAGTTCTCACACACTTGCTGCATAAGTTGTATAACTTTTGTCTGATCCTGTCAACACAACATTTGTGCTGCTTTGCATTTTCTCTTTGCCTTGTTTAGTTCATTTATGTTGTACATGAATACATGTTGCAAATGAGTGCTTTGACTTGAATCTTGATCATACTATTTATGTTGTAATAAAATATTTCCTAGTTCATTTTAGTATGTGTTACCTCAGTGCTATTTGGTTTTGGAAGTGCAGTCAGATGCTTATGTGCACATCCACTGGAAAGGTGCTGCTGAGCTAGTATTAGCATCTTGCAAAAGCTGGCTTTCTATTGATGGTTCAGTTCATCCAATGAGTTTTGACAAGGTAAATACCAACCCAAATTAATTGGGGCTTCACTTCTGAAGTTTTTTTAAGTTGTTAGTACTTTTACAGTATAACGAAGTGAAGAGATCCATTGACGATATGGCAATGAGTTCACTGCGCTGTATTGCTTTTGCATATTGCACCTGCGAGCTCACAATGGTTCCTAGAGAGGATCTCGATAAGTGGCAGTTGCCTGAGGATAATCTGACTCTTCTTGGAATGGTCGGGATAAAGGTGTGTCTTGTGAGATGGTATTTACTTTATGCTTCTACTAGCATTTGAATAGCTGTGCATGGTATCTACTCTTTCTGTCTGTCATTTATGGCTAATTTTAGCAGTCCATGCCATGATACCATATCAGCGAAAAATAATACAAGGACAGAATAGCCCATCTTTGTCTTGCTAGTAGTTTGATTCTTCAAAACCACAATGACAAGTTTTATGTAATGAGATACTAAAGATTATTAAGAGATGGAGAAACTGAACCAAATGTGTATTGTTTGGAGGTTTCTGTAAAATAGTTAGTCATGATGATGATACTGGGAGAGTAGCACTGGGATAATGGAGAATCATGGAACAAAGAAGGGATTAGATGAGTGGAGCCCACTATGATTGGCAAGCACATGAAGTGATCCTTCACCAACTATAGTTTTCGGATGATACTTGGCCATGCTAGTTCATAAGTTTTATTCACATCACTTGTTCCTCATGTTTCCCATCATTGTTAAAATGCCTGGTCTCTTTCAGAATTCTTTATGTTCGAATCTGTTTAGGCATAACTTTTCTCTCTTCAGTTTTGCCATATACTCCCTCTGTACCAAAATACTTGTAGTTGGGCAAAACTAGTACAAGTTCCCCCAACAACAAGTATTTTGGTACAGAGGGAGTAACTGTTATCTCCTGATGATTCCATGCAGCTATTCACCCTATACATTCTTTTTCGATGTATAGGATCCTTGTCGCCCAGGAGTAAGGGATGCTGTACAATTATGCAGTGCTGCTGGTGTGAAGGTTATTATCATCTTTGTTTTATTATTCTTTGCTCTTATTTTCTTTCCTTCTATTTCTATTTCAAATTCTTTCCCTGGGATTTTGAACTGATTGAGTTTATAATAGGAGATTAGGATCAAGGCGGTTCGCTTTTGAAATGTTTATGATGCTTCATTTCCATTTTTTGCATTTTTTCAAGAATATGTCATATGAGGCAAGGTCAAAATGCTTCACGATGTGAATTTGACAAAACAGGCCACCTTAGGTACCAATGGAAGCACTATACTTCCGAATTTCCAATAGTTCCTTCATGTGGCCATTTTCACAAATATTTGCCTGTACCTTCTCCATTTGATTCAAAATCCTTGGTACTGCTTCCATACCAATGGTAGGACAGTAATTTTTCATGCCTGATGTCTGTTAGTTGATCAAATAATGTGATGGAAGTGTGGATATTAGTGCTGAGCAAATCCAACTTAGTGCCGGTTTTGTTGTTCGATTCATCTAAAACAATAAAAAGGGCAACCTGGTGCATGTAGCTCCCGCTTGCGCAGGGTCCAGGGAAGGGTCCGACCACTTTGGGTCTATAGTACGCAGCCTTTCCCTACATTTCTGTAAGAGGCTGTTTCCAGGGATTCATCTAAAACAATAAGATGGTAAAAAAGAAGATATCCTTGGATCATTGTTGTTGACTTGTCTCAGCTATGTATTGCAGTGATCAGATGGGTAGAACTTGTAATATTAAGCTTGAATTTGTTTTTGTGTTTTAAGATAACACATTGGCTTCTCGCGTTTGATTAAAGGCATCGTTGTACTCAGAAAGTATATTTGTTTTAGGTACGGATGGTCACAGGAGATAATGTTGAAACAGCTAAGGCCATTGCTTTCGAATGTGGAATACTAAATTCAAAAGATGTTGCTTCAAAGACAATAATAATAGAGGGGAAGGTGTTCCGTGAAATGTCTGAAACTGCACGAGAAGAAGTTGCTGTCAAGATTACAGTAACCCACCTCTCTCTATCCCTTCATCATCTGTCCCATGGTTGGAGCTTTCAAAACCACAAGCAGCATATCACTTACTATAAATAAGAAAAGATTTTCTATGATACAGAATACTTTGTAATTTCCTGATATAAAATATCTTTCCAAGTTTATGAATTTGTTTTCTAAGTGGTCTCAGTTAACATATCTACTTTTACTTCAGGTAATGGGACGGTCTTCTCCAAACGACAAGCTTTTGCTTGTACAAGCTTTGAAAAGAAAAGGCCATGTAGTAGCTGTAACCGGTGATGGCACCAACGACGCCCCAGCATTGCATGAGGTCTGTCTGCAACTATGTCATTATGTATTGGAGTGTCAACCTAGAATCATCTTGTAATCCTATATTCTTTTTGTCGTCTAGGCTGATATCGGTCTTTCAATGGGCATCTCGGGAACAGAAGTTGCTAAAGAAAGCTCGGACATCATAATCTTGGATGATGACTTCACATCCGTTGTCAAGGTTATCTTCTCCAACATCAAAGCATAACGTCTATTTTTTATAAATAAGCATAACATCAGCATGTTAGCCTGTCATTGTGCTTTTAGTTATCCCATGCACATACCAGCATAGTTTCTCCATGTGCAAATATATATTTCCAGAGATATTTTGTGACAGACGTGCATGCGCAGTACCTTGTGTGCATCGTGCACCATAGCTGTGGTCTAGCGACCACTCATTTCAAACTTATATGTAGAGCACAAATCTTAACATACCTTTCTTGTGTTAGGTTGTTCGTTGGGGGCGGTCTGTCTATGCAAATATTCAGAAATTCATCCAGTTCCAGCTGACTGTTAATGTCGCTGCCCTGGTAATAAATGTGGTAGCTGCTGTGTCCTCTGGTGCTGTTCCTCTGAATGCAGTTGAGGTTGGACCCTTTTCTTGATTTGTGTCCCATAGTTGTGGTCTCATTTATTATTGCCTGTTTATGTGCGTTCTTATTTGCTTCAGATATTTAGCTGGCATGCACATCACAAATACTGAAAGAAACAATCATAAATATGTAATATCTTTGTGGCAGACTACTAAATCTTATGAATAAATATGGCAAACTGCTAAGATATTACAGATCATGCTGCAGAAATCTTATCTTAGTCTGAAGAAATGCCCTGTTTATTTGTTTAGAACCACATAATTTTTCACTTGGCAGCTTCTTTGGGTGAACCTGATCATGGACACACTGGGAGCCCTTGCATTAGCAACTGAACCACCAACAGACAACCTAATGAAGAGACATCCTGTTGGCAGAAGGTATGATACACCGTCCTAGTACAAATTATTGACCATTCCCTGTTATGTACTTTGTCGAAAAACCATTATGATACACTTCTTATTTCACTTCTGCAGGGAACCTCTTGTTACAAATATCATGTGGAGAAACCTGTTTATCCAGGTCTCTAGTTGTGTAACTCACCTGTATTTTTGCACGCATGCAAATAGAAACCTGTTGAATCAGATTTTCTTCATCTCTATATGGATTTGTTGCAGGCTCTTTACCAGATAGCAGTTCTTCTCGTCTTCAATTTTGATGGCAAAAGGATTTTCCAGTTGCGTAATGAAAGTCGAGAGCACGCTGACAAAATTACGAACACCTTTGTCTTCAATGCATTTGTCTTTTGCCAAGTAAGATCACAGGAGGATTTTTCTTCCAACATCCATCGATTTAATATTTTATTGAAACTATAATTTGGTGTCTCTTCCTAAGCTATCATTGATTCCTTCAGCACACCCTCGCCGCATACCAATTTTGCTATTGGATATGTCATATATATGTAAAAATCACAGAATTCTTTTCTTATGCCTCATGTGCCATTCATGTCAGATCTTCAATGAGTTCAATGCTCGCAAGCCTGAGGAGAAGAATGTCTTGAGAGGAGTCACGAGCAACCGCCTTTTCATGGGTATAGTGGGTATAACTACCATTCTTCAGGTAACAATGCAGTAACATGACACTTATATGAATGCATACGTGTTTTCACAAGGCACAAGTAGGATCATCATCTCATCTTGCAGATCTTAAAAACTGAGTTTCTGAGCATCATCCCATCTTGCAGATCTTGATAATTGAATTTCTCGGAAAGTTCTTTGGGACTGTTAGGCTCGTTTGGAAGCTATGGCTGCTATCAGTTGCCATTGGTGCAGTAAGGTATACACAGGAGAACTCCATTGGAGAGACACAACACTTTTGTCTACTCTATAATTTCTTCCTTCCAATGGCCACATTACCATCTATCTGTCTGTTTTTTCAATCCAGCTGGCCTCTCGCGTATGTTGGCAAGTCCATTCCTGTTCCTGCCAGACCTTTCCAGGATTACTTGAAGCATTGTTGTGCCTGGAGAAGGCCACGCCGCCGCGGTAATTTCCCTGCATACACAGCTGCTGATCCTTGTGTTTACTTTTGTTTTCACCCAACGAGCTCATCGTGACTTAGCCCCTGCATGCATTCCATCGTGTGCTGCATCGTGACTTAGCCCCTGCATGCATTCCATCGTGTGCTGCAGATGAAGAGCAGGGCGGCAAGAGCTGAGGCTTAGCCCGAGGACTAGGAGCAACTTCTGGAGAAGCTGCAAACGGGCCCAAAATTCAAGGCTTCATCTCAACCGGAGCTTCAGAGAGGGGCAAAGAGCAGTCCCTGTAGAACTGGGTGCAGATGCGTCCATAAGGAATGAGAGGGGAGCTTTTTTTCGGGGAAGGAATGGCAGGAAGCTTGTGCACTGGTAGATATCACTCAGAATAAGTAGTACTGTACGGGGTTAGTTTTTCTTGTGATCTGTTGCTTCTTGATTTAAGTAGAGAAACTGCATGCAAAGAGTGATAATGACCAGTGTCATGAAGTAGAGAAACTTGCCACAGCTATTAGACAGAAATCACATCTTCCATTGAGAACAAAAACTTTAGAGCCATCTCTGCCATAACTGGTGAGCTGATATAGGATGATTAAGCATACAACTTGGTACCTTAGGCACGCTCTTCTCGCATGCCATGCCTAGAGACAGACTCTCATGGTCCACTCTGTAGCACGCTGTAATCATGCATGTGCCTGTGGTGCTTGTTCCCAGACAACATTCTGATACTGTGCTTCCCACAACAAAACCTAAATTAGTGATACAACAACAGCAACAACAACACACTTGCATATCTACCCAAAGCATGGCCAAGCAGCTCACTTCAGTTCATTCTTATTACTGACAACAAACGATCTAGGCGGCAGCACTAGCAGTAGCATGAGTAGGCGAAGTGGCTCTTCTTGGTGATGTATGTGGAGACGAAGTCTGAGGCCTGAGCCGAACCACCGACCACCGGAGCTGGGACAAGGATCTGGGTCAGGCCTGACGCGATCCTCTTACCGGCCACATTTCCGTAGAACATGCCGGGGATGGCGGGGACGAACACGTCGCTCTGCGAGCAGATCTCGAGGTCCAGGGCCCTTGCTAGGTCTGAATCGCCAGAATTCAGGAATTCTCCTTTCTTCTCAGCTGGCATGATGTCGTCCTGCACAAAGACAGATTGTAAGTTAAAATCCTGCCATGTACCCTTTTTACCTGGAGAACATGGTTCTGCACTACAAGTTACAAGAACAAACTGAGTGGATCTCTTGAATTTTCTGAGTGTTCCAAATATATCATTGCAACAGGTGAAATGGGCCAGGAGAAAACAGAATATGATCCACACTAATTAAATGGTACTAGATGAGTTGCTTGCCTTGGTATAAGTGTGTGGAAATGCCCTCTTCAGATTATTCAGGCCTTTGTGCCACCATGTCTCTGTCAAGTAGATGGTTGTGTTAGCAGAGAAGCCGACCTTCTTCAGGAAATTCAGAACCTCCTGAGGATTATAACAGCCTTTCCTTCTCGCACCAGCACTTGTTTTACAAGTCTTCTTCTCTAGCAAGTCGGTCCGCATATCAACCGCCAACACCCTGCCATCCGATTTCTTGCTGAGCTCTTTAAGCCTGCCCAGCATCTGTTCAGCCACTTCTGAATATTCGGCGTTCAGTTTGAGCCCAGTGAACATTGCATGGCAAGCAGTCGAATCCAAGTCTTTGTTATTCGTCCCTTTCGGTTTCAAACTTACTGAAGAGAAAATAATTGCGAGTCGTAGGTAACTGTTCTTTTGGAAGGCAGGCTGAATGGTGTCCAGGATGAAGTCCTCTGTCACACGGTTTGGTACTCTAATAACGGCTGGCTTCTTAGTGGTCCATTCAGCAGGAAGTTTATCTACTACTTTGACAACACCATCCAAGTTCATCTTGAATTTTTCCACATCGTACATGTCTTGGAATTTTCTGTTCATGAAATTTATATCATTAGTTCAGAATTGAGATGCCACCCCAAAGTATCAATCATTATTTTGAGTTGCAGAACCGAATGTAAATTTATTTCGGCAGAACAGTAGAGATATGACAAGAAACTTCTTTTCATTGTTTATCCATACTAAGTACACAGTTCAGTATCCAAATAGAACTAACCACTCATTGACAAATAGAGTCACCAGAGTCATCTTAAGACAGCGTTGATGTTCATTTGTGGGAAATAAATCAAGGTGCTCATGTAGTGAACAAGAAAATTCTCTAGATGCACATGTGGTGAAACACATGTTTTCACCAATAGGTGTCTGCAGGAAGCCATATCTTATGGAACAGATTAAAATTGCATCGTTTCTCTAGAAACATACCGACTCTTTCCTAATTCATTTCCTCTGATTTCTGGAAGTACAAGTGTAGCTCCCAGATACCTTGCAATCACTACAGCATCAGCGATCTGCAACCAAAGGGCCAACACACAAACATAAGCTGATTTTCTGTTTACTCAACTACATTCATGAGGGCAAGTTCCAAGTTACGGGCATACCTGTGATGCATGGTATTCGGGGCCAATAGTCAATGACAAGGTAACAAAACCGTTAGACTGATCATCCTCTGCAGAAAATCACAAGTATGAGTAACCAGATTAATCGGTAATAGTTATGGATGTGACATAAAACTTCTTAAACACATAATATTGTTACTTGGGCTTGGTTTGGTCCAGCAGGGCTTAATCTCCTCAGTAGCCTCCGTTTGGAGCTCCAGTCCAGCCTTGGTTATTTCAGTATTGTCTGCGATCTTCATCGCATTTAACTCCACGCCTGTTGCCTCCACGGCCAGCTGTTGGATGTTCAGTTTGAGAGCAGTTATAGCATGGCCACATCAGTTAAAAGCAGCATTTTTTTCTCCATCAGTTAAAAACAGCAGTTGATATGTTGTCGGCAGAGCATCTGAACAAGCCAAGTACTGGGAGACAGGGAGAGTATAAGCTGGAGGAGTGATAGTGATTCATGACATGGACAACCCTCACTGTCTAGCTCATACTCTAAAGTGAGATTATTTCTGTATAAAGAAATTGAAGTCTTTGCTTTGTCTCCCCTTTTGCATTTTTATCTTTACAATTGATGGTTTGTTTTGACCACAAACTGTGCTTTTTCTAGGAAAAGCTCGCAGGAGTACAATCTATTCATCACCACAGAAACCAAGTTCCTGATTCTTTTTCTTTTGACCCCAAAGCTTGGTGCAACGTGCTGAAAACTAGGATTGGATTATTAAACCCTAGCTAAGCCCTCAAAGTCAAGGTCACGTGACAGTCTGACACACAACTCTCGAGAGTCGAGATGCCTTTCCTAGCTTAGATCCACAAATCACTTCAGATTTGGAGCCATCCATTGCACAGTGAACTGAAAGAAACATTAACTGAACTTTTATCTGAGTTTTTCATGTGACCGGACAGCAAATCCGTTGAGATTTTTGGCAAGAACTGGTACGAGAAAATGAAAAATTCGCAATCCTAAGCACAATACTGCACAGATGGGTCAAACCCACAGAGGTAAAATTATCCGTAGCATCTAAGCGCTCCATAGTCCAACCAAACGATGCAGAATCAAGTGAATGGCAACCAAAATCAGGAACCAGGAGAACAACAGCAGCACCCCCAAACACCCGCTGCAAATTTCCTTCCAGAAAAGAACACCCCGGTAATGCAGACCGGAAGCGGGCGGGGAAACGAGAGCTAGGGAGTGGGGAGGGGGAGGCGGGAGATCTCGGCTACCTCGGAGACGGAGGTGAAGTGGTCGTGCTTGATCATGTTGCCGAGCATGACGAACATGGAGAGGGTGAGGAACCCCGCCAGCACCTGCCGCGGGTCCACCATTGCGGCGGCCGGCGGCGAGCGGAGAAGAAGAGGAGGGGCACCGACAGGCGAGGCGACAGCAGCACGCGGGGAGCGCCGGGCTGCGCGTGTGCAGTGCGTACAGCCGCGCGATGGGGGTGTGTGGACTGGACTGGACTGGACTGGAGATGGAGTGGCACTGGCTGGGGCTTTAACTGCGGAGATTGCGATCCTGACACGGGCCGGGTCGCCCGGACCTGTATAATTTATCTGTCCTGTTAAGCCCCGATCCGGAGAAAGTGGGTTTAGTACGCTTGACAATGGAGATTAGTGGCCTAGTGGGCTCGGCTGTTTTAGTAAGCTCCATATAACCTGCCAATTGTGCTTCCCATCGTTTTCCATTGTCCTTTGAGGGATTCATTTTCTAATTTTGGTAGTAGGGTCATTTGTGAAAATAAACTGTGATGTATAGTTTGCGTGGCAGCTTCATTTTGTTTTGGCTGGTTAATTTGCGATTTTTTCAGTGAGCCGAGGAATGGCGAGTTATGAGGATAAATTACGCCTCGCCAACTCTTATTTATGGGATACTTATATAGCTTCATTGTGAAATTGATGAAGGCATACTTGTTTATGTTTGTTTTGTCGAGATGCGCGAGCATTCGTCACTAACTTTATCGCTATAGCTATAAGTAGTAGAGATGAGGAGCATGTCTATAAGAATAATTGGACACCGCCAACTCTAGGTCAAGATGGGAATGGGCCGGGTCGGCCCGTTGGATCACTGACCCGACCCAAAAAGTCGAGGCCAATGGGTCAAGTGGGTCGGCCTTCAAATGATACACGTGTTGACACCAGATTTTGCCACGGCATAAAAGGAAATGAGATGGCTTCAAGTGAAAGGGTTTTCAACATGAGAAAGTTTCACGTCGCCGAGTGGAACAACTTTGATGTCTAGGCTATCGCCATTCGACCTCATCTAAGTGGCCGAAACTGTACTCCGAGCGACAAAATTTAGTGTTCTGAGTGCTTTTCGGCCGATTACGCCCTCAATATGAGCTCAGATGAAGTAGCACTCTAAGGGAATTGTCTTCGTCTCGTTGAGACGATTGATTTTCATATATAAATCATGTCCATCCGAGTTCGTATGCAAAAGTTACAGCCAAAACGGTCTAGAACGGTTAGAGACCAAAATATTACGCTCGACACCAGACACATGTTGACGAGTGTCTGATGCAATGCGTGAGCAATTCGGCCCTCAATAAGGCCTTGAATCAAAAAACCTTTAACATGAAAAAGTTTCGTCTCGTCGAACCGATCGATTTTCATATATACTTCATCTCAATCCAAGGTCATATGAGACCTGGAGGGACAAATCAAGATCAGACTGTGTTTTCAGTCGGGAAATCCGAGTGAAAAAGCTTACCATCCGAGTGGAAACTTACCGGTCGAGTGGAAATTTACCAGGTGAACTTATTATTATTATCCGAGTAAAAATATAGTCATCCGAATGACATTGTCCTCCAGGTAAAAATATTCCGAGTGAAAAGATTATCATCGGAACGAAAACTTGCCGATCGAGTGAAAGATTGTCTTCCAAGTGAAAATATAGTCATCCGAGTGAAAGATTATCTTCCGAGTGAAAGATTCTAACATCCGAGTGAAAAAGTCCAGTCGGACGATCCGAGTGAAAGACTCTAATATCCGAATGGATGAGCTCGAATCCGAGTGAAACTGAACATGTGCCCGAAAGTTTATCAAGATGACCTCGGATGGAGAAGTGTTCAATACGGAAGTTGTGCGTATCGTCAAAACGGTGAACTATGGTTTTGGAGTCATCATCATCAGAGATAGTATATGGCATGCAGATTCACTAGGAGACTCGGATAATCCAGTCTGCTGCGAGACCGAGTCCGACTGGAAGGTAAAGATGACCTCAAAAAGTATTCAAGATGGCCTTATTTGAAAAAGTGATCAACATAAGAGTTGTTCGCCTCGTCGAGGCGCACAAGTTTGATATTTGGTCCGTATTGATTGGAGATCATATGCGAACTCGACGGCCCGCGCAAGGAGGAAGACAGAAGTTGGGCCAGATTCAGACTGAATCCGAGTTGGAATAGAACTAGGACTCTAGGACGTGAATTGATATGTAAGGAAAGCCTAGATGAATCCTTTACTTGTACGGGAAGTCCAGCCGCCTCTTATATATGTTGGGGGTGACGGCCGATTGAAGAACACACAATCGAAGAAATCAATCTACTACTTTTTCGTGTTCATCTACCTTTTGTCTCTCCCTTGTATCTTTCTTCTCGTTCTTCGCTAGTTCTTCATGCTGGAGGGCTGCGGATCCACGAGGCTCTAGGGGCGAGCGAATAGTGTCGTTGTTCTAAGTCTGACAGTAGAATGGGGGGTAAGTATGGAAAGGCAAGGTCCTAGCTATGGAGTAGTTGTACACACGGGTGTTTAGCGAGTTCAGGCCCTTCTCGGAGGAAGTAACAGCCCTACGTCTCGGAGCCCGGAGGCGGTCGACTGATCTCTGTGTATATGAGTTACAGGGGTGCGAACCCTTCTACCAGTGGAGGGGGGTGGCTTATATAGAGGACGCCAGGACCCCAACCAACCCACGTAGAGGAGGATTAAAGTACATTAAGGCCGGGCGTTACTGGTAACGCCCTACATAAAGTGTCATCATGACCATTAAGACTACTTAATTACAGACCGTTCGGATACAGCATAGATCTTGAACTTCTGATGGTCGAGTGTGTCTTCATGGTCGAGTGTCTTCTAACCGGTCGAGTGGAGTCTCCCTTGGTCGAGTGGAGCTTCTCTTGGTCGACTGGAAGGTAGCTTCGTAGGATGATGTCCTTGGGTATGGTATCCTAGATAGGTCCATGACCCTACCCTAGGTACATAACCTCATCATTAGCCCCCGAATGGATCGAGGTTCGAGTGAGGAAGGAGTTGACGATTTTCTCCGACTTATTTACTGTACTCTAATTATGTCGTATCTTGGATCGGCGATTCTTCTTTCGGCGTTGGCGTCGACTTTTACTTCAGTCGCCTTGATCCATTCTTATCTTTTGTCGAGTGAACTTTTGAACTCCGGTGAACTTCCGAGCGACGGATCGCGGGAAGGATATCGTCTGACAGATTGATCTGTTGTTAGCGGATTTTGCGGGATCTGAAATTTGGGAAGCGCGCGAAGCGGGGCGATCCGCGGCAATCGGGCGGGATAAGGCATGGACGCCTCGATTTCCGTGCCGCCTTCTTCGCCATGTATCATACGTGTGCGACTGTTTCGGGATGTGACAGATCTGCTCGGACCCACTCGTCAGCCGCTCGGAAGCGCCCTTATATAAAGCGTCGGGGAAGAGTTTTTGAACAGTGCCTCCCCATTCTCCTCTCTTCCCTCTCTGCCTCCGCCCATGGCGCCTGCTCCTACCTCCGCCTTATCCACCTCTCGAGCGCTTCGCCGGAGATAATGGTGAAGGAGAAGACGGCGGCTCTAGAGCGCGTGAAGAAGGCGACGACGACGGGGCAAGCGAAGGGGAGACCGTCCAGTCGGGGCGGATCTTCGTCGAGGTCCCGCCTGCCGAAGGGTTGGGTCCAAGGGGATTGGATCCGCTCGACCATCACTGGGAAGGACCTCGACGACCTGGACGATGAGGGACTGATCCCCCACAGGTCAGCGAGGCTCCCGGGGTCCGAGTGTCAACCGCAACCGCAGGAGGGTGAGTGCGTTCTCTTAGCCACTCACGTAGATCGTGGTTTTTCTCTGCCGCCGAGTGTGTTCTTCCGTGGGTTTCTGAATTTCTTTGGGGCGCAACTCCACCATTTCAATCCCAATTCCATCGCCTATCTTGCTGCCTTTGTGTCCATGTGCGAGAACTTCCTGGGTTGTCGACCGCACTGGGGTCTCTTCAAGCACATATTCACCTGTCGGTCGCAGACAGTAAAAAAGGCGAGTCCGGGTGATGAGAGGACCAAGGTTATACAGATGTGCGGGGGTCTTGGTATTCAGTTGAGGAATAAGAGCACTTTCCCGGCCATGACCCTTCCTGAGTCGGTCAGAGGGTGGCAGTCGACTTGGTTCTACTGCCAAGACGAGTCGACGCCGGGGCAGTCGACTGGTCTCCCTCCGTTCTCCATGGACCGAGTGGACAAACCGTCTTCTCTGAAGGTGCTTCCTGAGGAGAAAGCCGAGGTAAAAATGTTGGTGGAGCGCGTGGTCCAACTCGTTCGGGACGGAGTGACGGGCATGGATCTTCTGGAAGTCTTCCTTAGGCGGCGCTTCCAACCGCTCCAGTACCGAGGCCACCCGATGTGGCTGTACTGCGGTACTGAAGACACCACTCGGGTCCATCCAGAGGCAGTCGACGACGCCACACTGGAGAGGTGGGTGGCCGCCATCACAGGGAACAAGGACAACCCTCAAGGGGCGAGGAGGATCCCGCCACTCGACTGTACCTATACGCCGGACAAGGTATGGCCGCTTATCTCCGAGTGTAATTTTGTTTTATCCATTCTGCTTTGCCGCGAATTGGTCGATTGATCTTTGTTTTGCTTTGTTGTCTGACATGCCACCACTAAATTGTACTCGATGCCCAATGGGGCGCAAGCGCCGACTGAGGATGAGGAAGGAAGCGGGGGCGAAAGCCCGGAGGAGTGGGATTCGGATGCTGACGACGACGACGAGGGTGATGACTCTGGTGAGGAGGAAGAAGAGGAGAAGGAGGAGGAAGTTGCACCTCCCCGCTCGGAAAGACGCTCGAAGCTTGCCCATGATCCAGCGACTGAGCGGGGTAAGGGGGTCGCAACCGCTTCCCAGTCGACCAAGCGCCCTCGGACCACTTCTCCGGCGCCGACTGAGAAGGCTCCGAAGCAATCTCGAGTGGCACCGCCGAAGCCTGCAAAGGTCTTGCCGAAGATGAAGATGGTGATCCCCACTATCTCAGGGTAATGGTAGTTTTGAGCTTTCCCTGTTTCATGAACTTGTTCTTGGTCGACTCATGGGCCAATCGACTGACTTTTGGAACTGCAGCGCT